ATCCCCAGCCAGGGAGCTGACCCACCTGGCTCAGCAGACCTCTCCTGTTTCCCTCCTGCTCCCCTCAGTAGTGTATTTCAGTCAGTCTGCCTGTTCTGCTCCCCACTCTGTCTCTGGTGAATCCTCTCACACACACTCCCCCAGCACCTCTGACCTGTATCCCAGTTCTTGTATGCATAAATAAATAAATCTTTCTAAAAAAATCAAGAAGAAAAACTATTAAGACAGAAATAAGGTATAAAGTAGATAGTAACAAAACCAAAAATTGGTTATTTGAATAAGCTATTATGCTTCAGGCAAGACTGATGGAGAGAAAAAAAATAAAGATACAAATATAAACAAAATATGTAATTAAAAAGGTAAACTAGAAAAAGATAAAAGGGAAAATAACTAAAGATAAAGATACTTTTAAATAATAAAATAAAATATTGAACTCTCTAAACCAAAATATTTGAAATCAGGAAAAAAATTGACAAATTCCTATAAAAACACAAAATGCCAATACTGACATATAAGAAACAGTAAACTTTGAATAGGCTGATAACCACTAAAGAATATGACTTTTTAATTAAAAGAAACCTAAGAAGGTTTAAAAGGGAGTGCCATCAAACTTTCAAACAACAAATAACACCTCCCACATACAAATTATTATTATTTTTAAAGATTTATTTATTTATGCATACAAGAGCTGGGGCACAGGCCAGAGATGCGGGGGCTGAGAGGATTCACCAGAGACAGAGGGGGGAACAGAACAGGCAGACTGACCAAAATACACTGCTGAAGGGAGCAGCGGGTGAGACAGGAGCAGTCTGCCTCATCATGTGGGTTTCTCCCTGGCCAGCTGGGGATCGAACTTGTGCTACAGAGGCTCCGGATTGCTTCAAAGTGTGGTGCTTAACCCCTTGCACCACCAGGGAAGCCCCATATACAAATTATTGAAGATAAAAAAAGAAATTAATTTTATGAAGTCATACTAATCCTAGATAAGATTAGTAATTAGATAAGATTTTCTAATTAGATAAGATTTTCTAGGCAAACGTAAATTACAAAAATTTAATTTAGGAGAAAGTAATAAATTTGAATAAACCAATATCCATAGAAGTTGAAATTATACTCAAAACCCACCAAAAAGGCCCCAAGCAGGGGTGATCTTACAGTCAAATTCTACCAAATATGCAAAAACCAGAAAACTCCAATAATTCACAAACCATTCTGGTAGGGGCCTCCCTGGTGGCACAAGGGGTTAAGCACAGTGCTGTGAAGCTATCTGCAGCCTCTGCATCGCAAGTTTGATACCCGGCAGGCCAGGGAGCTGACTCACATGGTGCAGCAGACCTCTCCTGCCAGCCCTCTGCTCCCCTCAACAGTGTATTTCAGTCAGTCTGCCTGTTCTGTTCCCCACTCTGTCTTTGGTGAATCCTCTCACCCCTGCAACTCTAGCCTGTACCCCACTTCTTATGTGCATAAATAAATAAATCTTTAAAAAGAAAAAGAAGGTAGGTGGTTCCCCCAAGTTATTGAACAGGGCTAAGATTTCCCTAAAGCCAAAACTGTGGGGGGGGTTAGCACAAGAAAGAAAATCACAGGCCCATTCCACTTATAAAAACAAATGCAGGGCCTCCCCTGTGGCGCAGCGGTTGAGCACTGGGCTGCGAAGCTGCCCGCAGACTCTGCAATGCCAGTTCCATCCCCGGCTGCTCCCCGGCTGCTCCCCGGCCACCGGAGGAGGGTCCCGCATGGCGCGCAGACTTCTCCTGCTGCCCGCTGCTCCCCTCAGCAGTGTGCTTCGGTCCTTCTGCCCTTTCTGCTCCCCGCTCTGGCTCTGGTGAATTCTCTCACCCTCCCGCGCTTCTGACTGTACCCAGTGCTTGCATAAATAAATAAATCAATAATATATATATTTAAAAAAAACTCTTAAAAACAAATGAAAACTAATCCTAAATAAAATACTACTAAATCAAATCCAACAATGATGAAAGAGAGGAGGATAGTCCAACATTACCAGATTAAGATAGAAAAATCATCTAATTTACAATATGTACATTAAAAGCATTCGATAAAATTCAACACCTTAGTTTAAAAAAAACAAAACAGCAAATCAAAAAATAGATTTTGATAGAGGACTTCTACTAGCCATCTACTGAAAAGTCACACTTTATGGTGACACCTTGGAGTCATGCTTATAAATGTCCAGAAATAACAATGATGGTCCATCATCACCACTATCATTCCATATTTTTAAAAGATATATTTTTATTTATTTATGCATACAAGAACTGGGGTTTAGGACAGAGGTGCAGGGGGTGAGAGGATCTTCCAGAGACAGAATGGGGAGCAGAACACACGGATCAACTGAATTACACTGAGGAGGGGAGCAACAAGCAGCCGGCCAGACAAGAGAGGTCTGCTGCAGCATGTGGGTTAGCTCCCTGGCAGGGGATAGAACTTAGACTGTTGCAGTGGTAGTGCTGAGACTTAACCTCTGGACCATCAGAGAGGCCCTATCAAGCTGTTATCAAACAAGTAAGAGTGAGTTCAACAAGATAGCCAGAATCCAGACCAGCATTTAAAACAGCAATGACAGTAACTGATTAGAAAAGAACAACAACAATAAAATCCAAAGCATAATTAAATAAGTAAAAGCAATGAAGTACTAGTGAATGAACCAAAGAAATCATGTACAGGGAATGTGTACCTATGTTCCAGGATGGAAGGCTCAATATTACAGTTATAATAAATTCTGTCCCGATCAATAACTTATTCATTACAAGACCAATCAGACTTCAAAGGATTTTTAAAATGGAATGGATAAGTTCCATTCTTCTTCGCATTCCTCTTGCAGGACCCAGCCAGATTTAAAACAAAGCCAGGTCCTTTGCCACGCCCAAGTCTGGGCATCTGCTTGTGTGATCTGCTACCGCTCCTTTGACATGAATCACCTATAAAAAATTGGTAAACAGGCTAATGATGTCTGCATAACACAAGCCCTAGGTTACTACCCAATTTTCTCCAGGAAGTTCATTTTTGAGGCAATCAGGGGCAAGCTTTCTCATTGTTAAAGGGGAAGCCTTAGTAACAACAACAAAAGGATCTTAAGGAAAAATGTGGCAAATCTACACAAGTGTATTTTAGATGAGTGTGGCTGATTTAGGGCTCCAAAGTGTGCCAAGCTGGCTACAATGTATGGAATGTGGCAAAGCCTTGAATGCAGATAAAGAAACTGTAAAGATTTCCCCTTTATTAAAGTAACAGTCATAAAGAGGATTACACCTGGGATCAAATTGCTCATTCTGATGAGAATGGTCTCCATTAGAAGTTAGTATCTCCACACCTGGGCCTCCAAGGAGGAAGCATAAGTCCCAGCTTTTAAGATTGCAAAGAAGACTGAAGGTGTTTCTGGACACAAGTGCCCTGTGGAAAATCAACTGTGCTAGTATTTCTATTAGAATCATTATTGGTTTTATAGTCTTCCGATTATAGAATTGCACAGGTTTTGCACAATCTGTTCCAAATTCTATTTTTCCCATAAAACCTTGTTATTTTTAGTGCACCGTTTTTGCAGAACTCCAAGTCTTTTAGCAACGCACATATCAGATTACAGCAGAAACACCTGTGCTCAAAGTGAAGCTGCCCCCCAAGTCCTTTCTCTCCCACCCGCCATTCTTGGTAGGTCCTGAGTCTCCCTGACAAGTGGCCGAGAAGACCAGGGACCCACTTCCTGAGAGTGGGAAAACTTCCCTGAAGTCTGCGAGGCAGTTCTCCGGAGTTTAGGGACAGAGCCCACCATTCTTTCTCTCTTGTCTCCTCCTCCAGACCCCAGATCACTCAGGAGACGCCAGGTAAACAGACCTAGAATTTTGCTGCGCGGAACAAGGCATTGAACCCCTGTAGGACTCGGTTTCCTCCTTCGTTCAACGGGTAGGCAGCATTTTTGTAAATCTCATGGTTGCTGTGGATGTTTGTAATTTTAAAGACTGCTTTCAGTTCTTGCCTTGCCACTTAGGTGGCCGTGGACAAGTGACTTTATTTCTCTGTGTCATCTGTAAAATGGGGCCTTTGCGAGGATTAAATGACGCGTGTGTGCAGGGCACTTAGCACAAGATGCGCACTACAGCTCCCCAAACTCAAGTTGCTCTTACGGGAGGCGGGGGCTTCTCCAGAACAGTTCTGACTGGGGAGGCAGAGGAACGCCGAGCTGGAGGGGAGAGCAGACGCGGCTGTGATGTCCAGGCACGGCGAACACCTCCTCCCATCTGCTTCCCACCCCGCCCGGATCTAGCCGTCAGCCGGACCTCCTAGCTTGCTGGAGCCACCCCCCAGCTCCGGCGATTTGGGGGGCGGCCTCCCGCGCTCAGGGTCGGAGGGCGGACTACATTTCCCGGCGTGCACCTCGGGTCGGGGCCCGAGCTGCGGTCCAGCCACTGGGACCGAGTCCGGACCGAGTTAGAGGATCCGGACAGCGACCATCGTTGAAGCGGCGGCTGCTTTTCACTTTGTGAAGCGCGTCTGTCACCGTCAATCCCAACTTAGGCCGCGGCCCCCGCTGGGTTAGTGAAGCGCGCTTGGTCCCCTTCTCTCTCCAGGCGCCCAGCCCCCCAGGTCCGAGCCAGGTTCATCTCCCCAGAAGGGTCGCTTCGACCCTTCGGGGTCCCCACCGTGGCCCGAGGCTGGCAGCCGGGCTCTGGGGACCGGGGGACCAGGGGCCGCGCTCGAGGCCGCGCAGCCGGAGACTACAACTCCCAGGCGGCACCGCGGCGGCGGCGGCGAGCACGTCACTCTGGCACCGCCGGCGGCCCCGGGCAGCGGCGCGGGCGGGGGCAGGGGCTGGGGCCGACCCGGAGGCCGGTGCTGAGGATGCGGGCCGCCCGGCCAACCCGCGCGTGAGGAGGCCGAGGGGCGCGCCACCCCGTCCCGGGGCGGCCGCCCCCGGGGCCCTGCCACCCCCGCCCCGCCCGGCGGTCGTGGCCCGGGATGCGGAGCCGGGGGCCGCCGGTGGAGCTGCGCGGGGTGAGAGGCGCAGGGAAGGGGGCTGCCTGCTTCCCTCGCCCGCGTCCCCCACCGGCTGGCCCCGGCAGGAATTCGGGACCCCCACGGCCAGCCCCTCTTAGCATCCTGATATTTGGGGGAGACAGGTGAACCCGCCGCCCTACCCCCACCCCGCCCCTCCTTGACAGCGGAATCAGAAGGAACGACCCTGCCCTTTTCAAGGCTTCTCCTTGCTCCTGCGGAGGGCGCCTTAGCCATGGCCCCCAGGAGCCCCCTGAAACCTGCAGAGACTGCTCCCCATCCTGGCCGCCGGGGCCCGCCCTCTGCACCCCGCGGGCAGCCTGTGTGAAGCGGCCTCCCGCAGCCCCCGGCCCCTCCCCCATGGAGGAGGAGGAGGGGGGGGCGGCCAAGGAGTGGGGCACGACCCCCGCGGGGCCCGTCTGGACCGCGGTGTTTGACTATGAGGCGGCGGGTGACGAGGAGCTGACCCTGCGGAGGGGCGACCGCGTCCAGGTGCTTTCCCAGGACTGTGCCGTGTCGGGCGATGAGGGCTGGTGGACCGGGCAGCTTCCCAGCGGCCGAGTGGGCGTCTTCCCCAGCAACTACGTGGCCCCCGGCGCCCCTGCCGCGCCCGAGGGCCTCCAGCTGCCCCAGGAGATCCCCTTCCATGAGCTGCAGCTAGAGGAGATCATCGGGGTAGGGGGCTTTGGCAAGGTCTATCGGGCCCTGTGGCGTGGCGAGGAGGTGGCCGTGAAGGCCGCCCGGCTGGACCCTGAGCGGGACCCGGCGGTGACAGCAGAACAGGTGCGCCAGGAGGCCCGACTCTTCGGAGCCCTGCAGCATCCCAACATCATTGCCCTCAGGGGCGCCTGCCTCAGCCCCCCTCACCTCTGCCTGGTGATGGAGTATGCCAGAGGGGGTGCACTGAGCAGGGTGCTGGCCGGTCGGCGGGTGCCCCCTCACGTGCTGGTCAACTGGGCTGTGCAGGTGGCGCGGGGCATGAACTACCTGCACAACGATGCCCCTGTGCCCATCATCCACCGGGACCTCAAGTCCATCAACAGTAAGTGATGTTCTCTGAAACTTGTTTCCACAGAACCTTATAAGGCCATGGGGTGGGAAATGAGGACACCAGAAAACACGGCAAGGGCATTATGCCTTCGTGCCAGGTGGACACAGAGGTTCAGGCGGTGGTTCTACTTCTCAGCTAGAGTGACAGTAGCTCGATAAATATATACCAGGGACATGGGGACAGGCCTTGGTTTCCCTGTCTGAACAGGACAGATACAGGACAGACACAGTGCCTGCCCTCATAGCTGCCCACTGTCAAGCCACGGTGGCAGTGTCCACCAGGCAGAGACAGAAAGACCCAGCCTGGAGGCAGGGCTTCCCACCCTCGGCACTGTAGTTGTCTGTCTGTCCGTCCTGTGCGTCCTAGATGGCTGAGCAGCTTCTCTTGCCTTCACCCACGAGATGCGCCGAGCTTTCTTCACCCTTCAGCTCCAGATATGACAACCAAAAATGTCGCTCGACATTGCCACATATCCCCTGGGGGACAGAATTGCCCCCATTTGAGAACCTCTTCCTGGAGTCCTCCTAGGTCTCTGCCCCAGCTGGCCCAGGCAAGCTGGAAATGGTGAAGGAAAGGAATGGGATGTAGCTTACATAAAAGCTTCCTCCTCCCTGGCCTATCACAGACTCTTGAAAGTTGATTGGTTGGTTGAATAAGGACCAGGGCCAAGTGGAAGGGAAGGTTCTCCAGGACCCACATCTACATCAAGGAACTTCTTCTCTTGATGTCAGCAAATACCCGCTGAGCGCCTATTAAGTAGGATCCCACAGAAAGCAAGACAGCCATGGTTTCTCCTCTTCTACCTCGTGTGCTTCACACAAGATAAGAGATTTCATCCAGTAGCCAGATATTTCCAGAGGGCCTGACCTTGAGCCCCACCCTTAAGGAGACAGCAGGGGGAAAGTCCTACCTCTCCATCAATAGTGAAAGAGATCAGTATGTTCCCAGCCTCCTTCCTGTCAATTCTACACCTTGAAATTGGTTTGGATCCACTCCGCTACTTTTATGTTTGTTGCTGTATACCCCCAACTGCAAGTCCCCAAGCAAGGGGATGAGTCTTCCTTACCTCCCAGACTTGGTATTTGTACCCTTAGATAGCTACTAAGCCCCCATGGTGCACCAAGCCCTGTGCCAGGGCTGGGGAGTTAGCGAGACAAACACAGATGGCCCCTGCTCTCGCTGATCCTCATGCACTAGCTCCCTTGAAATGCTGGCAGAATGCAAGCAGCACTGCAGCGCGCTCCCGAACACTAGGACCCTTTCCCAGCCCTTCCTCACCCCTGCTGCTTTACAGCCTGCAGGTAGGGTTAGGTTTTTCTGTAGCCAAAGCCACCTGGACAAAGAGTTGGTTGGTCAGGCTCCTTAGGCCAGGACTGAAGCAGAGCACACCAGCCTCCCCTCAGCTTCCCCCCGCTCCGCCCTCCCTGTGGGACTCCTCATCTGATATCACTTATCCATTGGGTCATTCAACCAACAATTCTTAAGCAGCATTGTCTACTAGGCAGTGTCCTAGGCTCTGGGATTACAGAAGTGAACAAGGCAAGTGTCTCCCCTTAAGGAAATTATAGTCCAGGAAACAGAAATAGATGGTTGATTGGTATTTAGGAAGGGAGGGTAGTATACAAATTCATTATCAGGGACTCTGAAAGAAATGAGGCAGATTAACAACGAGGCGGGGGGAGCTCTTTAGGACAGATGACCAGAGAAGGCAACTTTAAAGCAGAGATCAAGTCTTGCAAGTCCTGAGCAAAGATCCTGCTGTGGAAGAAGTATGACTTGTTGGAGAAACAAGGTGACCAGAGGGGTTGGAACAGCAAGAATGAGGCAGAAGTGGAAGTGGATGAGCTCAAAAAGGTAGGCAGGGACCAGATCACATATGCCTGGGGGTCACAGTGAGGATTTTGGGTGTTCAACGTAATAGAAGTCACTATGGGTTTTTAAGCAGAGCAGACATGATCAGAGAGATATTTTAAAGGGAGCTGATGCAAGTGTGATTATATGGGTGGTGTGTGTGTCCTCTATTACAGTGTCACTGTACAACTAGAGAGGTAGAGTCATAGGGAGAAGTCTCAGGAGGCTTCTAGGAGCAGGGGGCGTTGGGGTCAGGTTCTAAAGAATGGACAAGATTACCAACTGTGTGGGCTGGGCAATGCAGCGATCTCTCTAACTCTCAGTTTGTTCGTTTGCCAAATGGGCATGATGGTAGAATTACCTTATTACACCAACTGGAGAAGTAGCCAGAAATGGTCAAAGACAAAGGTGAAGAGAGAAGGAACAGTTATGGTGACACCACACACTAATAATATCAGGGCTTTCAAAGATCCTATTGTTACTCCAGGTAATAAATCTTTACTGCATTCCTGTAAGGTAAATACTATTGCCCTCCGATCTAACAATGGAGAAATGTTAGTGTTAAGATTAACTAAGTTTCAAAAAAAAAAAAAAGATTAAGTTCATTGATGTTTATGTAGCTAGTAAGTGGCAGAGCTGGGATTCAAACCCAGATAGGACAGTGAAAGCCTCTGTTAGAAAGTAGTGAGGGGCCTTCCTGGTGGCACAAGGGGTTAAATCGCAGCACTGTGACACTATCCACAGCCTCTGCAGCACGAGTTCGATCCCCAGCCAAGGAGCTACCCACATGGCGCAGCAGACCTCTCCTGACTCGCCCGCTGCTCCCCTCAGCAGTGTATTTCAGTCAATCTGCCTTTTCTTCCCCACTCTGTCCGGTGAATCCTCTCTCCCCCCCGCACCTCTGGCCTGCACCCCAGCTCTTATATGCATAATACATAAATCTTAAGAAAAAAAAAGAAAGTAGTAAAATATCATAGCAGCTAAATATAGCAGTTAAGAGCTCGGGTTCTGATGATTTAACAGGTTCAAGTCTTTGCCCCGCTTTCTAGCTGTGTAATCTTGGCCAAGTGACTTCCTCTCTTCCTGCACCTTAGTTTGCTGGTCAGTAAAATGGGTTGCATGCTAGTGAATTCGTGTAAAGGCTGAGCATTGCGCCTGGGGTACAGTAGACTGCTGAGAAGCACTGTCCATGATTGTCATTGTTGGCAATGACCCGGGCAGCAGGTGAATGGAGCTGTCCATCACGCATGTGGCTGCATCCGTCAGATTTTGGCACAGAGATGCGATGTGACAAACTATCACTAAAACTACTTGTTGTCTTGAGGCAACAGATATCTATCACTTGCTCACACGTTCGCAGGCCAGGGCAAGGGCACAGCAGTTTGGGCTGGGCTCAGCCAGAGAGCTTTGCGCCAGGTCTCTCTTGCCTTCCTTGGGCTAGCAGGTTAGCCGAGGCACGTTCTCGTGGTGATGGCAGACGTACAGGAGGGCATGTGAACACGAGAGGCCACTTGAGGCCCAGGCTTGGAATTGGCTCTCTGTCGTTTCTGCCTGATTCTGCTGGCTACAGAATTCACATGGCTAACCCAGAAGCAAATGGGCACCGGCGGGGGGGGGGGGGGGTGTAAAGGGGGATGTGCCCTGCCTCTTTACTGGAGAAGGCTGTGCAGTCACACGGCAGAGAGGGTGACACAGAAAGAAGCAGAATTGGGGCTGTGGGCACAGTCTACCATGGGGCGGGGGGTCAAAGGTGGGAGGAAAACCACCTTCATCCCTTCTGCTTATGGACTGCTCATGCCTTCGGGGCGGTTGGGCAGGCCTGGACCACTGCCTTTCCTGAGCTCCAGTGCCCAGACTGGAGTCGGGAGGGAGGGGCTAGGGAGTGCTCCCGCAATCTGGGGCAGGGATCAGGCCCTGGGGGAAGGGCTCACAGGTATCCCAGGTTGGAAAGGGGCCTCAGGTGAGGTCAGGCAAGAGAATAAGAGGAGGTTCTGCATGAGCAGGGTATGCAGCCCACAGGCTAGGGTGACCTCCTTTCTTCCACCCACAGTCCTTATTCTGGAGGCCATCGAGAACCACAACCTCACAGACACGGTGCTCAAGATCACAGACTTCGGCCTTGCTCGAGAGTGGCACAAGACCACCAAAATGAGCGCAGCGGGGACTTACGCCTGGATGGCCCCGGAGGTTATCCGTCTCTCCCTCTTCTCCAAAAGCAGCGACGTCTGGAGGTGCAAATGGGGGGCCTGGGAGGCCTCCTAGAAATTGGGGCAGGGTGGGGAAGATGGGGGCCGGGGTAGAGTGGGAGGAACAGTCTCCCACTGAAACCAGGATCTGGGCCTAGCAAAAGGGCCTGTTGACAACACCACAGCGGGTGTGTGCTCCGCTAGCAGACATGGCAGCTGAGGACAACCTCACTTAGAGTAAAACACCCCAAAATGGAGAACAGGATGCTAGCCCTAAAGGCCCCCAGACACCATCCAGTCCCCCGCCCCTACTTGTCAAACAGGAAATTGAGGTCTTTGGCGAAAACCACCCAGCCAGCCAGCCAGCCAGCCAGCCAGCCAGCCAGCCAGCCATCTGCACTGGATGCTAGGGATACAGCAGTGGATAGAAACAGACATGTTTCTTGTCTGCAGAGATAGTAAACAAATAAATACATTTATAAGAAACTGAAAAGAGCTGTTTTAAGTTAAAACCACAAGGTAATTCTTAAAAGATGATCAAGTAATCCTCCAGAAACAAAAAATTAGTGTTAAGTGCTAGGAAGTTAAATGAAAAGCACCCCAAGGGCCGCTGGATGACTTTGGGGAGAGCTTTGCTGAAAAGTGACACTTGAGCTAGGTTCTGAATGCCGAGAAGCAGCCGGCCATGTAGGGCTTGGGGTAGAGGGGAGCATCTCAGGCAGAAGAACAGCTCCCACAAAGGTGGTGCTGATGTGAGAACGAGCTTGGTGTCTTCCGGAAACAGCTGTGAGGCGCTGTCAGGAGAAGCAGGCAAGGAGGAAGGTGCTAGGAATGGTGTGCTGTGGGGAAAGCGCCGGAGGGCAGCGCTGGGAGTCACTGACTCCTGATTTCCGGCTAACTGGCTGGAGGGCCGTTTCTGAATGACAGGATCTGACAGAGGGTTGCAAAGGCTCCCTGGGCTGGAGGCGGGGGGACTGGGTAATAGGGGTGAGGGCAGTCAGGGCTGAGGTGTTGATCACCCACAAGACTTGGTGTGACAGCAGAAACTTCCTTTTTCTAAGGGGTGGGGTTAGAGGCAAAAGGGTGGCAAGCAAACCCAGGGCAGTCCCTAGCTGAGGCTCCCGGTGGAGCAGCAGCCAGTCATGGCTTAGGGATGCACAGATCAGACAGGAAGGGGCAACTAGAGCAGCACAGGCCCTTGGCGCAAAGTCCAGACTGGTTCCTGTCAGGTGTTCATGTCGCTGAGTGAACTAAATGCTAAATTTCAGCAGCAAGAAACAGAAAGCCCGTATGGAAACAAGACTCAAGTTTTTGCTCCCATGTAAAGCCCAGGATTGATCTGGTGCCCCCAGCATTAGGGACATGGGGGTTCCTGCATCAGGGTTCCTTAGCAGGGGTGTCCTGGATCTCGGGAAGATAACTCTTCCAGGGTGCTGCTGTCTTCTCCTTTTCAGGAGATGCCCCCCAGATATCAGTAGCACTGGCCAGTCGTGACTGTCCAGACATGCCCACAGGTCTCCAGGCTGGGGAGAGGCGAGGGGTCCTGCCACCTTCCAGTCACAAGCCACTGTTTCTGCCACCTGTTCCTCCATTCCCAAGTTCACTTCATGGTCCAAAATGGCTGCTTGAGCTCCAGCTTTTGTGTCCGCATTCTCACCAGTAGGAAGGAGAAAAGAAGGAAGGGCAGCCACCCCTTCAAGGATACTTAAGTTAGCTGCACGCCACACGTCTCCCACATCCCGCTGGCCGGGACCACTGTCAGATGGGCATGCTCGGCTGCAGAGGAGGGTGCTGTTTCAAGCAGGCCGGCTCGAGCTCTTGGTGCCAAGACGGGGAGGCAGGGCAGGCTGTGTGTGTCTTGTTCTGGTGCCTGACACGCGTACATGGAGGGGGAACGGCCCTACTACATGTTAGGTACAAAATAGTGGTTGGATCCAGAAGGAGCACAGTTTACTAGAGACGATGGACACACAAGTGATAGCAGCACCACGATGCGTGTGTGGGCGTGGGGCAGCGTTCAGGGCACTGTGGTGGCCGACGCCTCCATCCACTAGCTGTGTGACCTCAGGCAGACAGCTCAACCTCTCTGAGCTGGCACCTACTCATCCCATAAAATGGGAGGGTGATGCCAGTCATCGTGCCTTACCAGGCTGTTGGGAGGGTGACTGAGTGCCAGGCATATGCCGGCCTGGAGTAAGGCTTTATACTTGTTAAATGATGTTAACTTGATTCTAGAGGTTAGTGGCGAAGGTCCTATGGGGACATAGAGGAAGGCCCCATCACCCAGCTTTGGAGCTTATGGAATCAAGGAAGGCTTTCTAGCTGCAGAGGGGGCGCCTGAGGTATCACTTAAGGACAATTCCGCGAAGTCCAGAGGGATCTTGCCAAAGGGAACAGCATGTGCAAAGGCCGGAGGTTAGGAGTAGGGCTTGTTCAGCTGTTCCGTGTAGCTGCGAGGTAAAGCCGGTGTCTGCGCACAGAGCCTGAGCGTATTAGAGGGAGGCTGCAGGGGTCACCACAGGGCAGAGCTAAGAAGGGTGCATCTGCACGGAGGGCTCAGGCAGGGATGAGGGAAGAGAGCAGAGCAGAGGCAGCGTGTCAGAGAGCCAACCACCGCATCTGTTTGAGATGGGGCCGACGGAAGCAAATCAGGTTCTTGTGGCCTCCTCAGCCAGGTTGGCTGCTGGGTGAGGGAGGCCCACCGCGGGCAGGAGTAGGGCTTGGGGTATCGGAGAGGGTTGGAGTGGGCTGCAGCCTCAACCCTGCCTCTCCCCCACCTGCAGCTTTGGAGTGTTGCTCTGGGAGCTGCTGACGGGGGAGGTCCCCTACCGTGAAATCGACGCCTTGGCCGTGGCATATGGCGTGGCTATGAACAAGCTGACGCTGCCCATCCCCTCCACTTGTCCCGAGCCCTTTGCCCGCCTACTGGAGGGTGAGCCGGGGCCCCGTGGAGCGGGTAGGCTCAGCTTGGGTGGCAGGGACCCTGGGGCCCAGACTTTACCCCCCTTCACACCATCCCTTCCGGTGGGCCCAGGAGTGAGGGAGAAGGGGCTGAAACCACTGGGCCATGAACAGTCTCCCCCAGAGCTGCCCCCAGACCCTTTTCCTAGCTGGCTCACAGCTCTTGAGAGCAATCTGCTAGATCACCCTGGGATCCCTCCCTGACGCCTGATTCACTTCCTGTCAGGGAACAGGTGTCCAGGCGCCTCTCCCGAGTTTCACCGACAAATGTCTGGAATTTGACCTTGAATCCCTTCCCTTTGGCTCCATGGAAGTAGTTTGTCCACAGTGCCTTAAAGACCTGCCTTGCACGGAGCAGAGCAAGACACTGACCTCTCCACTCCCACTGCTGTCCCCCTGCCCCCACCCCAGAATGCTGGGACCCAGACCCCCACGGGAGGCCAGATTTCGGCAGCATCTTGAAGCAACTTGAAGTCATCGAACAGTCAGCCCTGTTCCAGATGCCGCTGGAGTCCTTCCACTCGCTGCAGGAGGACTGGAAGCTGGAGATCCAGCACATGTTCGATGACCTCCGGACCAAGGAGAAGGTGAAGGCAGGGGTGGGGCGGGAGGGTCAAAGCAAGATGCCTTGGGTGGGGCGGATCCCCTGTCCCTGTGCTCACTTCGGGGTCCCTGTGGGCCAAGGGCCCTTGCTTTGCATATTGAGAATAGGCGGTTTCGTGCTGGCGGGTCAGGAAGACCCACCCTGCCCTGAGACCCACAGTGACAGCCTGATGTGTGGGCTTGGCTTTAAGACACTGCAGCAAAACGAGAGGAAGAGAGGCGGCCAGGAGGGAAGAGGATATGTGAAGAAAAAGATCTGCAAAGTATAGATGATTGTGGCGCTTGGGTGGCGGCTAGATGGGTGTGTGATATTCTCTCTGCTTTTGTGGATTGTTTGAAGTTTTCCCAATTGCAGAAAAGAATCAAAGAGAAAAAGAAATATACCCCCCCCTTTCTTTGGGCTAACGGCCCCCTGCCCAGGCCCCCAACCTGGCTAGCGGATCGTGGCCCCAGCCAGACCCCTGGGGAGAGTAGCCAAGCCTCTCCCCAGCGTCCCCCTGCCCGCAGGAGCTCCGCAGCCGGGAGGAGGAGCTGCTGCGGGCGGCGCAGGAGCAGCGCTTCCAGGAGGAGCAGCTGCGGCGGCGGGAGCAGGAGCTGGCCGAGCGCGAGATGGACATTGTGGAGCGCGAGCTGCACCTGCTCATGTGCCAGCTGAGCCAGGAGAAGCCCAGGGTCCGCAAACGCAAGGGCAACTTCAAGCGCAGCCGCCTGCTCAGGCTGCGGGAAGGCGGCAGCCACATCAGCCTGCCCTCGGGTACCACGCCCCTCACTAACCCCAGGGAGCGCCGGGAGGGGGCACCCCAACCCAGGGTTCATCTCTGCCTTTTATATCTTAAACACTTTTATTGCTAAATATAGCCCACGTATATGAACGTTGACCAAAACCCACACCGCTTAGTGGGTTTTTACTATAATCACCCCATGAAAACAGACCTTATAGCCTCCCTAGAAGCCCCCCACGGGGACCCTAAACAGTCCCCTGCTACCTCTATCTTGACTTTACTTTTTTTAAAAAAAGATTTATTTTTTTATGCACACAAGAGCTGAGGTGTAGCCCAGAGGGGTGGGGGTGGGGGTGGGCATGTGAGAGGATTCACCAGAGACAGAGTGGGGAGCAGAACAGGAGGATCCACTGAAATACACTGCTGAGGGGAGCAGCAGGGAGACAGGAGAGGTCTGCTGCGCCATGTGGGTAGCTTCATAGTGCTGACACTTAACCCCTTGGGCCACCAGGAAGGGCCCTATCTTGACTTTCGATCTTTTCTTTATGGTTTTGTCTCCCAGCTATTTTTAACATCTTTTAATCTGCTCCCCACAACTGACCCCCTCTCCCCCAAATCTTGCCGCTCTTACCCTTTAGGGTTTGCTGCAGCTTGGCTCTGGTAACTTGCATCCCCTGGTATCACTTAACATGTCCCTTTATCCCCTGAATTTCCTGTAAATTATAATTTGGCTAAAGGTCTTTGCTCATGTGTGGCCATTTTTGGCCTACAAAAACAGAAGTTTCACGGGGATTAACCTAATAGCTGCATCTCAAGGTTTAATCCAGTTCCAGTCCAAGTTTGATTTTTTTGGTCTGTTTTTTGCAAAGACTGTTTACCAGGTAAGGCCTGGCTGCCTCTTTGGCACGTTACAAGCCACAGAGCAGTGCTTAGAAGAGAACTGGCAAAGGGAACCCAAAGATCTAACAGCCACATTCAAAAGGGAATTAAGCAGGGCCTCCCTGGTGGTGCAAGGGTTTAAGCACAGTACTGTGAACTGTGCGCAGCCACTGCAGCATTAATTCTATACCCGGCCGGCCAGGGAGCTACCCACATGGCGCAGCAGACCTCTCCTGCCTCGCCCGCTGCTTCCCTCAGCAGCGTATTTCAGTCAGTCTGCCTGTTCTGCTCCCCACTCTGTCTCTGGTGAATCCTCTCTGGCTGTACCCCAGTTCTTGTATGCATAAATAAATAAATCTTTTCTTAAAAAAAGGGAGTACGTCAGGTGGAAGGAATTTTCATAGTATATTTTATTTAGCCCAGTCTGACCAAAGTGTTAGGATTACCCATGGAATTACTACCCTCAAATCTTTGGAACGCAGCATGTGATTTTATATTTATGGCACATCTCCATGTGGGCACACACTTTTCATCAAAAATGCTTGACCTGTGTTTAGATTTCATAACATTTACAGTTAAAAAGGTAGATTCACCTGCCCAAGGTATTCCAAATCAGCTTAAATGTTTCCAGTAACTGAATGGAGTTTCTGTTCTAGCAGGTAAACTAAAATTTTTCACAACCAAATAAACAAAGGTGGCTCTCCAGTTCCTTGGGGCACACGCCAGGCCAGGTTAATGCCTGTTGGACCCTCAGGCCCAGATCCACTACCAGCTAGCCAGAAGCTCTTAAATGTGAGTGGGCCTCAAGGTCCCTGGAAGGCTCAGTACCCCACCATCGAACTGCTGCACCTCACCCCTAAAGCTGCTAGGTCAGGGCCCAAGAATGTGCATTTGCAAGAGATTTCCCATTGAGGTCCACAGGCCTCCTGAATCAGGCAAGCAAATGGATTTCCCAGTCTACTGTTCCTTCTACAAAGGGCCCCTCCCTGTGGATACCCATGCAACCATCTGCTTAGGAAAGTCTCTTTTCTGCAGGCTTCGAGCATAAGATCACAGTCCAGGCCTCTCCAACTCTGGACAAGCGGAAAGGATCGGATGGGGCCAGCCCACCTGCAAGCCCCAGCATCATCCCCCGGCTCAGGGCCATTCGCCGTGAGTATTTGCCCAAGGCCCAGCACTCAGTCAGCAAACTTCTCTGAGCACACACCTTGCGCCCTGTCGGAAGAACAGCCAGCGAGACAGGCAGGGTCCCCTCCTCGCCCCCATCAGTGGAAACAAGCAGGATACCTCCAGGGGTGCTAAGTGCTGTGAAGGATATCAAGGGAGGGGACGAGAGCTGCAGCTGCTTCCCACCAAGGAGGCTGTGTGAGGAGCTGTGGCTTGAGCAGGGACCGGCTTGGTAAGAAGGAGCCAACCCAGCCAAGATCCGAAGGAAGAGCGTGTCCCTGGCACAGGGAACAGCAGAGGCGGAGGCTGGGAGGTGGGAAGGTGTGTGCCCGCGTGTTTACCAGCCCGGAAGGAGCAGAGTGAACTGAGAAGGAGAGCAGGAGGTTTGCCGTCCGAGATCACTCTGCAGGCAAGGCCATGATGCCATCAAATTTACCTTTTTCCTCTGGCTGCTGTGAGGCGCACGGACTGGAAGAGGGCAGCCGTGAGGGTGGAGACAAATGAGATAATGGGGCTGGGCCAGGATGGGGGCCCGTCCAGGGGAGCTGGCCGCAGTGGGGGGCTCCAGGACAGAGGTACGGCCGTGGGGTTCCCTGGTGAGGCGAAGGGTACCAGGGTCACCCTGAGTCTGTTCTACCCATCCTTCACCCTGGCCCTGCACGCCCCACACGCTTCTGTGTGCGCGCTTGCTTCGTGCCAGGCCAGGGTGCTTCCATGGGGGCCACAAAGACGAACAGCCCTACAGTTGTGACCGCCAGAGTGAGCGTGCATTCAGAGTATCGCGCGAGCAGGAAAGGGGGAGCAGACGACTCCAGACGACCGACTAGCCCAGGCTTGAAGGCCAGCAGCCAGCCAGGCCAAGAAGGGGCGGAAAGGGAACGGAATTCCAGGCGAAGGGAACAGCCTGTGCACAGGCGTGCAGGCAGGAAAGCCCCGCCTGGGAACTGGTCGGCGTGGGCCCCAGCCTCTGCCTGCGTGTCCTGCCCCATCTCCTCGCTCCTCCCCCCACCCTGCGCCTGCTCCACTCACTCCCTCACCTCCTTCAAGTCTTTGCTCAAAGTCTCCTCAAGTGTTGAGGTCTTTCTAACTCCCAAACCCTTTGCCTGCTTGCAGTTTCCCCCAGTTTCCCACCTTCTAACACCCTCCACAATTCACTTCCCCAGTGTGAGTCTAACCTGTGAGCCCTTAAAATGCAAAGGGCCCAAGGGCAGGGACGTTTGTCTGCTTTGCCCACTGTTCCGTTCTCCGCACCTGTCCCGGGGCTGGCACACAGCAGCTGCTCAGGAACCTTGGGGGCCTGAATGGACGGTTGAAGGGCTGGGCTGTGAGAAGTGACAGATGTGGCAGAGGAAGTCAGTAGGAAAGAGCCTTGAGGGGACTTTGTCCTGCGAGCAGTGGGGGGCTATGGAAGGGTCTGCAGCAAGGAGGGGGGGGGTGAGTGGAGGTGGAACCCAAGATCCCTTCGGTGCTAGGTGGAGGGTGGACCCAGGGTGGGGAGCGTGAAGCTGGGAGCCCAGTGGGCACAGACTCCAAGACCCAGGGGCCAAGTGGCTTCTCCCGTTCCAGTGACTCCCGTGGACGCTGGGGGCGGCAGCAGCAGCGGCAGCAGCAGTGGTGGCAGCGGGACATGGAGCCGTAGTGGACCCCCAAAGAAGGAAGAACTGGTTGGGGGCAAGAAGAAGGGCCGGACTTGGGGGCCCAGCTCCACTCTGCAGAAGGAGCGGGCTGGAGGAGAAGAGAGGTAGGGGGGCAGGAGGAGCCGGCTGTGCCCAGAGCCCCACCCCCAGGCCCAGGTGCCAGAGGGCCAACCTCCCATCTCTGGTGCCCCCTGCAGGCTGAAGGCCCTGGGAGAAGGAAGCAAACAGTGGTCATCAAGTGCCCCCAACCTGGGCAAATCCCCCAAACACACCCCCATTGCCCCTGGCTTCGCCAGCCTCAACGAGATGGGTAAGAGGGCGAGGGCGCCTTCCAAAGGGAGGAGGAAGGGCCCTTCCCTGGCTGAGGGGGATTGTAACCCAAGACCAAGGGATGACCCCTGCCAGGGCTGGGGAGAGAACCGGGTCTCGGGCGCGGAAGGCGTCAGGCGCGAGCAGGCCCTCCCTGCAGTGCGGGCTCGTTGCCCGGGCTGAGGGGCTTTGGGAGTAGGAAGCTTCCAGAACCAAGCTTGGTGTCCACGCTGGAGGGGCCGCTGGGGGCCGGCCCTCGCCACCAGGTCCCCGGGGCAGGGCGCCAGGCGCCGTCCCGGAGTCGATGGCGGCCTCTCCCCGTTGCAGAGGAGTTCGCGGAGGCCGACGGAGGCAACAGCGTGCCCCCCTCCCCCTACACCACCCCGTCCTACCTCACCGTGCCGCTCCCCAGCGAGCCCTCCCCGGGGGCGCCCTCGCCCCCCGCGCCCCCCTCCCGGCCGGGGCACGGCCGGCGGCGCTGCGAGCTCGCGCTGCTGGGCTGCGCCACGCTGCTGGGCGCCGTGGGGCTGGGAGCCGACGTGGCCGAGGCCCGCGCGCCGGACGGCGAGGAGCATCGGCGCTGGCTCGACGGCCTCTTCTTCCCCCGCGCCGGCCGCTTCCCGCGGGGCCTCAGCCCGCCCGGGCGCTCCCCGGGCCGCCGCGACGACCCGGCCCCCGGCCCCGGCCTGGCGCCCTCGGCCACCCTCGTGTCGCTGTCCTCGGCGTCCGACTGCAACTCCACGCGCTCGCTGCTGCGCTCCGACAGCGACGAGGCCGCGCCCGCCGCGCCCTCCCCGCCGCCCTCCCCGCCCGCGCCCTCCCCCGCGGCCGGCGCCAACCCCCTGGTGGACCTGGAGCTCGAGAGCTTCAAGAGGGACCCCCGCCAGTCGCTCACGCCCACCCGCGTCACCGCCGCGCGCGCCGTGAGCCGCGGCCACCGGCGAACGCCGTCGGATGGGGCGCTGGGGCAGCGCGGGGCGCCGGAACCCGCGGGCTCCGGCCTGGGTGAGTGGGGGCCCTTCTCCCTGCCCCCCAGGGTCCGCGCCCCAACCCAGGGGCGACCCCCTAGATGCCAAGGGGACGGCTCGGGGAGGAAGGGTGTCCAGGGGCCCTCACTGTTCTGCGAGGCCCCCCGAAACGGCATGGGGTCAGGAATTAAGGGCCACGGCAATACCACTGCTGGCGCCCAGCGCACTCCAGCCAGGCCCGTGCTCCCCACACGATGGCAGCGGCGAGGACGGCTGCTGGCGGGGCTCACTCGGGGCCTTTCACATGACCCTGTGTCTGAGTTGACCCTCCCCTGTGTGGCGAGGTGCAGTCACCCCTCCAAGTCCCCCCACCCCACTCAGAGACAGCGTCCTGTGTCCGGTGGGCCCAACAAGACCAACAGATTTCTCTAGAGAAGTCAGAAATTCCAACTGTCACCTCAAGTCCTGACGGGACTCTCCCCCACCCCCCCACCCTCTTCTGATTCTCTCTTGCCAGGCCCTCGAGACCCCCTGGACTTCCCCCGCCTACCCGACCCCCAGGCCCTGTTCCCCACCCGGCGCCGGCCCCCCGAATTCCCTGGCCGCCCCACCACCCTGACCTTCGCCCCAAGACCCCGACCGGCTGCCAGCCGCCCCCGCCTGGACCCCTGGAAATTGGTCTCTTTCGGTCGGACACTCAGCATCTCACCTCCCAGCAGGCGGGACACCCCGGAGAGCCCCGGGCCCCCCAGCGTGCAGCCCACGCTGCTTGACATGGACATGGAGGGGCAGAGCCAGGACAGCACAGTGCCCCTGTGTGGGGTCCATGGCTCCCACTGAGGCCCACCCCCACCGCCCGCCTGGGCAGCCATGAATGTAGCGTCCCAGGCCCCGCCCCAGCCCACCAGGCCACGAGGCAGGGGAGGCCCTGGGCAGGATACCCACTCTATTTATTGGGGGAGGGGTGGAGGGATCACTTAATTTATTCCTTTGTACCCAGGGGGTGGGGCCCTGTGCCCGCCTTGCATTGGGGGGTGGGGGTGGGCCGGGTTACTCAGGGACAGGGCATCGTGGGGGATTTGGCACAAAATGAAGCATTAAAGGTAACCCCTGCCCCCTACTGCGCTTGGCTGTGTGTCTTTCCCCAGCCGAGGTCCTGAGCCTGTGCCATCCTGAGTCAGCACCCCCCACCCCATGCTCCCTCCCTAGGCCTCCCTGGGTCTCTGGTGTCTGGGGGTGAAGCTCAGATCCATGTCCCCACCCTGGCCCCCACAAGAACACCACACAAAGAGGTTATGGTCACCAGTGACAAGTACTTTACCAGCGAAAACATGAGTCAGGGGAAGTTACAGGGTGACGTTGGAGGGAGTGGGGGTAGGGACAGTCCCCCTAGGTTGCCTCAGCCAATGACATCCCGAGTCCCAGCCCCGGCCCCACTGTCTTCCCTCTGGAGGCTGCAACGGTTCATCTTCAGCTGAGTCAGCTGGATGTAGCGTAGGACATTGGTGTCTGCGGGGGAGGTGGGCAGGGCATTATCTGGGTGTCCCGGGACAGCAGGTGACAGCTGCACCACTTCGGCTCACACCTCCTTGTCCCCAGCCTTCAGCGGCTCCCCCACACACATGGTATTGCCAGAGCCCTTCTCCAAAAACCCAGCCACAACAAGCTGAGCGGGGGCACTTCACACCTCCGGGCTCTTGCTTTTGCTATGCCTCCTGCCAGGAAAGCCTCTGCTCGCGGGCTCCTGTCACACTTCTACTCATCCTCCAGCGACATCTGCAAGACGTCTGCTCTCTGCAAACCACTTACAGCAAAGCCAATCTCGCCTCTGCTCCTGCACCCCTGTGTCATGCACCTGTTGTGCTCTTAGTTCGAAACTGAGTATATTGTCTGCACACACATACACCCTGACTATGACTTCCCAGAGGGCAAGGAACAAGCCTCCAACTCTTTCAACCCCCCACCCCCCAACCACCACCACCAGTATCCTGACATTGCCCACCTGGGGGTCAGTCTGCCTCCTGGCAAGTGCTCGGCACGTGTGGGCAAGCAAGCAGGTGAATGAATCCGTGAGCGTGAGAAGGGGGAGTACCGGGGTCGGTTAATGAAAATGGGGTTGGGTGGATGGGCGGCATCAGGGTGGGTCCATGAAGGGAGGAGAGGTGATCTATGAATGTCAGAGGAAGCACAGGTGAGGGGACGTCTGAGTGGCAGGTGGGTGGGTGTGTCCTGAGTAGGCGGCCGGGAAGCGATGGGTGGGTGGACCAGCACTCCCTCCAAGCAGATGGGCCCTGTTCCTCCTGGCCTTGCTTCCTCTGCTCTCGCCCCTTTCCCTGCTCCCCCCGTCCCTCACCTGTGGGCTCCCGGCTGCGGGCCTCCTGCAGGTAGCGCAGCGCACGCGCATAGTCGCCCAGGTGGTAGAAGGCAATGCCGGCGCGGTAGGTGGCCTTGAAGTTGCCCTGCTGCTTCTCCAGCACCTTGAGGCAGTACTCGCGCACGCGCTCATAGTTCACCAGCTCCGACTGCAGCAGGCAGGCTGCGGGGGGCGCGGGAGCCGGAATCTCACGGTCAAACGGCCCCTCCAGGCCTCCGGGGCTCCTCCTCCCGCCTTCTCCCCCCCGCCCCCTCCTGTCCCTAGGGCCGCCAACCTTCGGACCCATCGGAGCCGAGCCCATCTGCGCCGCCGCTAGAGGGCGCGAAGAACCCGGAATGAGCCCGCGGGCGACCGGCTGGGCGGTTTCCGTAGGGGAGAGCGCTAAGGACCGTCCCCGCGGTGAGAGAGTGGGGCCTTGGTTGGCTCATCCAGGGTAAGTTTTTCTCACCCTCGGTTTGCGGCAGCAGCCCAAAGCCCCCGATTCCCAGCTCCTTCCACCCCTGGGGTCCCCTCCACCTCCAAACCCCCTCCTTGATCAAGTTCTGAGGTCGCCCGCCCCCATAGACCCCAGTCCTGACCCCGTCAAGCCTCAGCCCCCGCCCGCAAAGCTTCCTGGCCGGCCTCAGTCCCACCCCCTCTCACAGGCACCCCCTGCGCCCCCCGACGGCCCGTACCCGTGAGAGAGTCATAACATTCCACCTCCGTGTTCTCCACCAGGCGCCGCTGCTCCTCGCTGAGGCGAGCCGGTCCCGGGCCGGTGGCGGGCCCGGGGGCAGGGGCAGGCAGGCCTCCGGGGCGGGACCCCTGGGCCGCTTTCAGCTGCAGCAGCGCCCGGTGATACTTGCCGATGGCTTCCCGGAACTTCTTCTCTCGGTAGCAGCGCTGGCCCTCCGCCTTGAATGCCACGGCGGCTCGCAGGCTGCTGTCGAGCGCCGCGCCCAGGCCCCCCGACGGCTCTGGGGCAGGACCCGACCGAGCCGAGCCATGGCGGGTGCCCGAGCCCGGCGGGGAGAGGGCGGGAGGCGGGCGCGGCGGAGGCTCCGGGGCAGCGCTGAGCATCAGCACCGGGGACAGCGCGCCGCGCTGCATTGTGGGAAACTCCTGCGGCCGCCGCTGCAGCTACCGCATCGCCCCCCGCGGGGCCGGTCCCCACCCTTTCTCCGCCTCCGCACCTCCGGCTGCCGACTCCGGCTGCCCCCTATGGGTCTAGAGAAACCCCTCAAGAATTCGGCGCTCTCTCCTTCAAATCAGGCCCGGCCTCTCCCTTCTCACTCCACTTACCCACCCCACTCTCCTGCTTGCTCTTCTCCCCCATCCCCAAAGCTCCAAAAAGCTTTCTGGAAGGAAAGGACAAGTCTGGGGGAAAGAGCAGGAGGATGTCAACCTCGTGGAAAGATGGTTTTCAGCCCACTAGGCATTTGGCACTTTGGATAAAAACACAGGCTATGCACTCAAGCTGCCCAGAACCAAATTCTTGCTTTTTTCACTTGTTGTGTGGCAGGAAAATTGCTTAAACTACCCAGAACTCTGTACCCTTCTCAGTAACATGGACAATGATAGCCTCCTTGGAACTCATTCATTTGTGTCCTTCCTGCGCCCAGCTCTGGGCTGGATGATGCTGGGACATAGCAGGGACAAACAAGGCCGCGGGTCCTACACTCACCGGTCCTCTGGGCCGGTGTGGAGACAGGCAGTGGCCAGAGGGCACCAGGTCGGAGTGGGCTAGCCTGAGCGGCACAAGCAGAGGGGTCCGGGAGTCACCACGGGCTGAGGCCCGGAAGAGGTGCTGCCGTGGCTGAGGGGGTGAGTAAAGGCTTCCTGGAGGAGGATGTGACTGTATGAACCAGGGAGATCTGCTTCCTGCCCTCATTGAGCTCACTGTATGGGGAGGAAAACCAGTGGCAAAGCTGACAAGTGGCAGCCCAGAGTGAGCAGCACGAATCAGAGTGTACAGAAAAGGAAAGATGTGCGAGCTTTCAGGAGACAAACTAGGGGTGAGTGGGGTGATTATCCTCCAACCCTCCTAGCCACTGACTTAGCAGAGAGACCCTGGCTAGGTTCTTTGATCTTCTCCCAAAGAGTGAGCTTACTTCACAGTGGAGTGTGGTGACTAAATTGTATTACACAGGTAAAGCACTTAGCTCAGGGCTTGGCACAGTAATGGGCAGCTAACAGCCCTTCTTTCTTATTGACTTAAAAGTGAACATCAGTGCCTGGCTCTGAGCCAGCATCCAGATGTAGCTGTGGAACCAACGAGTGAATGAATAATCCCAAGTATTCCTGTCCAAGACCCTAGTTTGAGTCTCAGCCCAAGCACCAAGCCTGAATTTCCACTCTACTTGTCTCCCCCTCCTGCCGTGCCCCTCCCCCTGGAGGCCCCACTGGCAGGTCCCACCCTGACAGACCCAAACCTGACACAGCACCCTCCACGCCAGCAGTCGCCTCTGCGCCTCTCCCTTGCTGGACTTTCCTAAGTGAATCCCTCCCCCATCCCTGGTCCTCCAACCTGGACCCCTTGAACACCTCAGGGATAGAAACTTCCTCCTTGCTGTACCTCCATACCCAGGCTTGGTTGACAGCCTCATGTTCCTGAGGTTGGATTTCAGAGCAGTGAGATCTCCTTTCTGCATCTCAGGTGTGTTTTTATGTTAGTTAAAAACATAGAGATGCACTTCATTTTCTGGGCACCTACTAAGTGGCTAGGCACTGGGGCTACACAGGGCACAGCTGTACCTGATTTGCAGTCCTGCCAGGATGCCACGCTAGCACGTTCCCAGGACCTGCCGGGCGCCACTGTCCTGAAGCTTTACTTACAGGGTAGCTGGGCCTCATCACACCACTCTGAGATGGGGGCTACAATCACTGACTCAGTGGCACTTTAGAGGTTAAGCGAATCAGATCCTGTTTATGGAGCGCCTGCCACTGAGAACGGATGACCCTTACAGCCAGCCTTTGGGCTTATGCAGCCCATTTTAAAAATATTGAATTCGTTGTCAACATGTGACCGCAGATCTATTTATTGATTTTCAGCTTCATTTGAAAATCTGAAAATTTGGCTACATTCCTCATGACAGGGGTGGGTAGCCTCAGTTTCCCAGTGCCCATCTCTCCTTTTCTTCCCAACCTGAGACCGGGGTCATTCCGGCTTGCGTGGCGATTTCCCTCTCAAAGTGTGGGTTTGTCTCCCTAACTGAATTTGAGACCGCCCCCCCCCCACTTTAGGCCGCCAGGCGGTGCTTGTGAAAGCCCGCCAGTGCCCTCTGGCGGAAGAGTTCGGAATTCGCACCGCCTCGCCCAGCAAGGGCTTGGTGAAAACATCCAATCAGAGGGACGAGACCCGGGCAGTGGCCAATCAACAGCGAGAAGGGGGCCACATTCGACCAATGAGCACAGAGAGCGCTCAGAATAAAAGAGACGCTTTTATTGAAGTGGGAAACTGACGTACAAGTTTTTTTTTTAATCGTATCTGGAGGCTCAGCGAGGCCAGTGCTGGGGGCGGCGGAGCAGGCGGGCGGCGACCAGGCTGGTGCCCTGGCGCTGGGGCCGCGCGTACTTGAGGAAAATGGCGGCGCGGCCGGGCGCTGGGCCTCGGAGTGCAGCGCGGGCCATGCACGGCTCAAGCGGGCCCAGCTCCAAGGGGCTAAGGCGGGGGAGAGACACTGAGTGGGGGGGGGGGCGGTGGAGTGACCTATTCTCGGCGCTGGGGACTCGAGGCTGACAGGACACGTGGACTTGGGTCCCCGGGCCGCGCAGGGGTTCTTTCCAGCTAGAACACGAGCCCTGTCATCTGTCGTGACTCGGGGTCGCCGAGGATGGGGAGACACCTGACTCCCCTCCCCCCCCGCAGGGAGCGGCCAGGAGAGCAAGCTCCCACGAGGAGGCAAGGAGTGCAACCGAGGATACGCAGATCTCTCAGGGGGACAGGAGAGAAGAGGCCATTCTCCTTGCCCCCCGCCCCGTGACACGCTGAACAGGAAGGGGGGCTCTAGCAACTAAAACGACACCCGATTCACGGCTAGATGGAACCTGGGGGACTCTAGGCCTAGCAAACCTTTCATTCTCAACTCTAGAACTCAGAGCGTCTTCCTGGGGAGGTCCTGTCTGGGAGCCCCAATCTAAACAAACCCCTTTCTCTCAGATACCTTTAGGAAAAAGGGATCCCCCAGAGGACGCAGACATGCTATTCTCACATCCAGAAAAGTCCATCTATGTGTGCCCCTCGTCCCATAATTGTCTCTCATTCTCTGACTGTAGGCAGGTCCCTAAAAGCACAGAGACCCTCCGTCTCAATATTACCTGTAAAGCGCCGGCTCAGGCCCGGAGCCCGCCCCATCGAGAGCGCGGTGTGCCAGGCTCAGAGCCGCAGCCGCACGGCGACCGGGCTCCCAAACTGCAGCCTCGGCCTCCAGCAGCGACAGCTCCAAGAAGTAGGTGGCGAGGAGCCGCACCTGCCAACACCCCAGACTCTCAGGCCACGCCCCATCCATACAGACCACGCCCCCACCCACACTGTCACGCCCCTTCCCCACGCACTGGGGGCTGCTCTCAGGCCACGCCCCATCAACACAGACCACGCCCCCACCCACGCTGCCACGCCCCTTCCCCCATGCACACGCGGGGCTGCTCTCAGGCCACGCCCCCACCCATACAGACCACGCCCCCACCCGCGCTGCCACGCCCCTTCCCCACAAACCGCGGGGCTGCTCCTCGCCAGCTCAGCCAGGAGCCGCAGGCAAAGGAGAGGGCAGGGGTGGTGCAGGCGGAAGTCCAAGCGGCTCAGGAGGCGGCGCTCCGCTCGCAGAAGCTCGGAGGGTGAGAAGGAGCCAGCGCCCAGGAGGCAGAGGGAGGCGGGCTGTGGACGGGGGAAAAGCCACTCGGAGCCTTGGGCCCCGGCTCCTTACTGCCTGCCCAGGAGTGCCCGGGATCGGCGCGGTCCCCGGGCTGCAGAAGGGGCCGTTGGCCCGCTGCCTGGAAGGCGCGGAGCAGACTCGAGTCAGAAGTTCCTAGATCCCTTCAAATCCTGCCATTGCTTTCTGCATGACGTGGACGCGCCCTGAACTCTCAGAACTCGGTTTCCTCGTCCGTGAAACGAGCTATTACTCCCACTTGGAGGACGCACTGGATGTGTGCACAGTCACTACGACGCTCACGCGGACTGTAACGCCTGCAGGTGTTCAAGGTTGAGTCCCAGTCCCAAGCACCAGGCTTTAAGCAAAGGTCTTCCTCTCCCGGGCCTCGGTCTCCTGCTACAGGGGCACCTGGGCAACCCCTACCTCACACAGATATGCTGGGGTTCCCAATTGTACGTAAAACGCTCGCTGGGCATGGGGCTTGGCACCCCATGGGCGTTCACTCGGCCACCCGGCAGGCGGGGGTGGGGTGGGGGGGTGGGTAGAGCGTTCCATCCTCACAAGCCCCACCCGAAATACCTCGGGGAAGACGCACTCTTCCATTTTGCTAGCCACGAACAGGCAGGCCACGCCCAGCAGCTGCAGGCGGCGGAGGCGCACGCGGTATGCGCGCAGGTAGGAATCGAGCAGGTGCACAGCTAGGTAGAGCGTGTCCCCCGCCAGATCCAGGTATTCCTAGGAAAGGGCACGGGTGACCACCAGGGTCCTAAGCTGAGACGCGGGCCCGGCCCTGCCCCCACCCCCGTACGTACATGCACCTGGACCAGCCAGTCCACTACTAGGGCGCGCATCTCCGGGGTCACAGTGCGGGGCAGAGCCCTCCTGGGCAGTGAGCGGCACACCTGGGGTTGGGCGAGACGGCCTCACTCTCCACACCTGGGCCTCGGCTTCTCCGAAGGAGTGCAGCAGCACCCTCGCTCGGGTTGGACGGCGCAGGAACGCAACACCCAGCGGGCCTCCAGTATCTCCTCCAAACGCGCTCCTCTTGCCCGACCCCAGCTGGAGCTCTGGACTTTATTCTGGACTCCTCCCTAGCCACCTCCCCAGCGTGTAGCCCCCTGAACATGGGCACCCCATATATATCTCTCCCCACTTTCCCAGGCCCCACTCTTGGCCACCAACTCTCAGCCCATCCCCCTCAGCATCCAGAAAGGTCTTTCTAAAGTGCAAATCTGACCAAGGA